CAGTCAGTCAGTCAGTCAGCCAGCCAGTCAGTCAGTGAGTCAGTCAGTCATCAGTCAGTCAGCCAGTCAGTCGTCAGTCATCAATAAAGTTCCAGGACATGCTGGCTGCGTGACCACAGCTTCTCTCCGCACTCCGGGTTCACCACCATTTCCATGCTGAAATTTCCAAAGCTGAGGTCTCCGTGGACAGTGATCCCAGCCCACATCAGAACACGACCTCATGGCTTGTCACATAAGTACCTACGATGCTCCTCTGTGGCCACGCTGCAAGGGAAGTGATTCTGTCCTCATCTCAGAAATCAGAGGCCAGGTTACAACATGGTCTCAAGTCAAGCGTCTCTGAGCTCTTTACATTCTGGAAGGATGGCCATGTCTAAATCCAGCTTCCTCCCCAGTGCAGAGGGAACCTGAGGCACAGCCTGGAGTGGTAGCTTGATGGAATGACGCAGTTGACCTCATTAGCTCTTAGCACATCTCAGAGTTCAGATGTAACAAATCATAAGATGTGTGTGTGAGAGTGTGTGTGTGCAGTTATGCAAAACCAGTGAATGCACACGTGGAACTGAAGTCAACGCTGGAGTCTGCCTCTCTCACCTTGTACCCTGATTTTGAGGCAGGGTCTCTCAGTGAAGCTAGAGCTCCTGAACCCACTGGGCTGGAAGGTCGACAGGGTCCCAGGACCCTCCTCCCTGCCCCCTCACCATCTCTGGACCACAGATGTGCACTGCCACGCCCAGCCTGGGCTTCGGGGCTGGGTACCTGAGCCCCGTTCTCATGCTGGCTCAGCAAATTCCCACCCGGAAGCCATCTCCCAAGCTCTGGGAGCATGATGTCTCAAGTGACCAAAGCCCCCTCTGGAAAGCAGAGAGAGGCTGGATGGGTGCACAGTTGGTCCTGGAAGGCCGTGCTGGCATCTGCTGGGCTGACAGGACCTCACCAAAGCGTCTCATCGTGGGCCACCACAATTCATTCATGCTGGTGTTGAGGAATGCCATTCCCAGGCTTCTGAACAAGAGGCGGCTGCCAGCTCTTGCCAGGGGCACCGGGCAGCCCCGGACAGTCCCAGGCAGAGCCTGAGTAACCCAAGCCCATCTGAGTCATGGAAAAAGGCCTGCCCGTGTCACTCTGGGGTGAGAAAACACAGGAGGCCAACACTGCCCGGCCCGGAAGGCGGCCCACGGGGCAGAGCCCTGATGAGGGGCCTCGCAGCTTCCCTCCTGCCTGCTCTTTCTTTGACCAGCTTGGCACCCCTCCTCTTCAAAAGCTGCCTGTGTGGCAGTTCATACTCCCTGAGGCTCTGAGCCGGACCTGGAGGGCCCTCGAGTGTGCCTTCGAGCTGGGGGGCTGCCTGCCGAGGCCCAGAGGCAGATATGCTGGAGCTGGGTGAAGCGGGGGGGGGGGGGGTGCCTGTGTGTGTGCGCGCTCGCGTGTGCTGAGTCCTGGCATCCAGGAGGCAGGGGCAGCTGAAGCTCTGCCAGTGTGAGGCAGCCACAGGAGAGCCACAAAGATAAAAATAAAGTAAAATAAAAGACTAAGCAACAAAGAAACAAAAGAGCCGAGATGACTGAGCCAGTGGCAGATCCTGCTGGGTGAGCAGAGTCTGTCACTGCTCCTTCCCAGACCCCCTCCCTGCATCGCATTTCTCGATCACGTGTCCCTGCCTCTGTCTCACTATTGGGTGATCTCCAAGATCCAACATAGCCTTCCTTCGAGAGTTTCCAGGAAGCGCATTGGCCGGCCACACACCTCAGTGTAATTCCAACACGCGCTGGAAGCCATGTCTCCCAATTCAAGGGACGTTATGAACTTGGCAGCCCCAGTGGAGACAGAGCACACACACAGTCTCGCACACTCACTCACCCTTACACACACACACACACACACACACACACACACACACACACACAGTGGTGGATTGTGAATTTGCAGGAAGTGTTTCCCATTTGGGCTGTACGGATTTCACAAAGCCCAAAGAAGAATTAAGCCCCCAAAGCAACCGCTCAGAGCGCGCGAAAGTCTCTTGTAATTCACGTTATGTGTAGTGGACCTGGCAGGCCTGGGCGCAGACGCCTCCAGAAGTGTTTGTGTGCTGGAGTTCCTGGCCGGCACACGGTTCCAGCTGCCCTGGCCGGCCGCCCGGCCTGCAGAGGAGGCCCGAATCCCACGGCCTGGCCGGGCTGCTGGCTCCCGACGCGCGGCAGCGGCGACCCTGGGCAGCTTCACCGTTCCTAGTCACTGCCCCACACGGAGCCAAGGAGCCGACAGGGGGCGGGGGCACACCCTGTCACGACCGTTTCCTAAGCCAGCAGGACGTGCCCTGGGACCCCAGCCAATGGCAGCTCTGTTCGCTGCTCGCCCTGTCCCTGGAACTCCGGGGGTAAGAACGGGAGAGGCAGACAGGCGGCGCCGAACGGGCTTTCCACATCCACAAGCACACACACACACACACACACACACACACACACACCACACACACCACACAAACCACACACAGCACACACATATACACAGCACACACACCACACACATATACACAGCACACACATATATACACACCACACACACCACACATGCACACACACCACACACATACACATAGTACACACACATACACACATACACACATATACCACACACACCACACACGTGTACAAGCACACATACATATACACACCACACACTCCCAGGGGACCCTGCACTGTGCCACAGCGCTGAGCCTCAGGATGCTGGAATTTGACCTTGGAAGAGGAAAGGGAGGCCCTGGGCTCCGGGAAGAGGAAAGGGAGGCCCTGGGCTCCGGGAAGAGGAAAGGGAAGCCCTGGGCTCCGGGAAGAGGAAAGGGAGGCCCTGGGCTCTGGGAAGAGGAAAGGGAGG